AAAAAAAAAAAGGAATTGGTTTTCAAGGAAAACCGAGAAAATTCCAACTTCCAACAAAACTAAGAAAATCAAATTTCATGGGAAAAAACCTATCAAACACACAAAATTGGAAGAAAGTGGAATTCGAATTCCATGAAAATGGAATTCGAACCAATCAAACATGGCCTTAGTGTCAAGTGCGAGCACCATACCGAGCATCTTCAAGAGAAAACATAAACCTCACCTTCAAGTACAGAAGAAGACTAGAAATCATCAGCCCCGTCCTTGCCATTCCAGCTTTACAGTGAACAACCACAACATTTTCTATATCCTCCTTCAACCATGAATATGCACTATGGCAAAATGATATTATGAGCTGAATAGGAGGGCAATTGTGGTCATCAAATGGAAAACTAGCCACCTGCAAAAGGAAAAGAAGACATAATATTGAAAATAAAATCTTTACACGTCTTCCATCTGTAAACATCTATTTATCTAAACATTTCAAGCTCTCACAAATAACTCAATGTAGAGAAATTTTTCGAACTTTAAAAGCATAAATGTCAAACTCATTATAGATAGATTGGGGCAGTTTTTACTTCATAATACCAGTGAAAATAATTGCTTTCACTCTAAAAGTTACGAGCATTCCATGTGGAAGTGAAGATCACTTCTGCATTATAACTAATTTTACTTTTAGAAATTACATGACATTGATTGGAGTATATTGCTAATAAATCTTACAAATATGCACCACATAAAGCATATTGAGGGATTTAAGCAAAATGAAATAGTGAAACAGCATAAACTCTGCTTTTATTTTTTTCCATCTCAATAGCATGGAAACTTAGCCTAGTCCAGTCACACAAGAATAGTACAGTTTCATAGCTTGCAGTCAAAGCCTAACCTAATTAAAACCGCACCAACCAACGGAAAGATAAAAAACCAAGACAGGAGGAAAAAAAAAAAAGAAATAAAGAATGAAAAGTTGCATGCCATAAATGAAAGATGAGAATCTCAATAGTAACACCATAAAGAACCAATAATTTCAGATTAGCAATAGAAACAGTTTCAAGAAAAATTAATAGCTCAATCCCTAAATCAATTAGAGAAGTGTACATTAAGGGCATCTCCAATGAGTGGTCAAACACCAAATTTAGTGTAAAACCCTCTCCAGTGAGGGGTCAAATATGGTGCAAAAAATAGTGATATGAACAGTGTTACACTTTACACCAAATATATAGATTTTCAACAACTCCATTTTGCCCTTCTTTCTGCTTTACAGAAGTTATTTTTTACATCCATGTCCCTCTTTAATAATTTAATGTTAACAGATTTTAATTGATTCATAATTATTTTAATGTGATGGTTAATTTTCTTTAACATTTATTTTTAAATTTTAATCAATTAATTTAATTATTATTTCAACAATAAATTAAAATTATCCTTTAACAGGTCAAAAGTTACAAATTTGATAATTAATAAATTAGCACTAGAACAACATAAATATATTAAAAACATAAATTAAAGTACAATACAACATTTAACTAAAAAAATAGATGCGCACTTTGCACTTCGAGATGCATTAATCGATCATATATGTGATGAATATACTACTTTTGATAAATAAGTGACAAAAAAAGTTGTCATTCTCGTTATACATAATTTTCCTTGTGCATTCGATGTAATTAATTTTCAGTATTATGTTTAATACTCTTTCTGGTTTATTAATAAATGCAATATTCTAGTTAATTAAATATAATTTCTAATTTAATAATTTTTGTAATGATATAATTTGTAAATAAATAATTCGAAATTAAATTTGGTGTAAAATTTAGTGTAAAATGGTCTCCAGTGGTCTACACCAAATTTGGTGTAAACCACAAGAGATGATCCAAGTGCTGCAAAATTAACAAGAGGGGCGAGAAGAATATAAGGATAATAAGAACATCGAAATTGCAGCAACCACCACAGTTTAAATATGCGAGTTGAATAATCAAAAGAAGATATAAAAAGGAAAAACACACCTTTCCCTCAAACAGTGATGCATCGTACAATCTCTCAGAACAGAGATTGTAGACTTTGTATTTCCCCTGCATGATTAAAATCAAAGCATCTCAGGCAAGTTATGGTACGAAATTATAGAAAATTAGGATCAATAGAAGCAAAGAACACTTGATAGTCATAACTAACTGTTTAGACAACAGGAGGTGATAACCAATGTTGTGCTACACCAGATTTTATGGTAGTAGAAAAATAGGCATTGGTAAACACTGCAATATGGACATCACCTGGTGATAAGTTTCAAAGAACTTGATTACTTCCTCCATGTGATTCCGATAAAATCCCTACATTACATTTCCATTTAGTTCAAATTAGAATTACTATTACAAAACAGTGATTAGCATACATCTGATTTTATAGAAATTTAATTCTGTACCTCAACATAGCTAAAAAAACCAGAGCTCATGTCACCAGCAGGGAAGCCCATCGCAATAATGTTCTCTGTGATGTAAGTCATGTCTAAATCAAATCCTCCATCCTAGAAAAACCGGAGGAATTCAGAGTCACACATTAGTAGGTAAAAGTTCTCAGAAGTCTTAACACGAGATGTATCAGAAGTAAATTGCAAACCAAAGTGAGCAAGACAACTTCAAACAGGATCACATGCTGCATCAACTAATGCAGCTATGCTTGAGGAAAAATGATAGAGGAAAGAAGACAACCATCGAAAGCTAACATTTGCTTTTAAAAAATATTGAGCTTACAAAAGTATTTCGGCAAACGTGTGGAAAGTACAGCCATAATAAATAGAGAAGCTAGTCTCCACCCTTTAAATGGGCAATTGATGGAAGAGTGGAGGAGTGGGGGGAGAAGATTGTTTGCTTTCTCCATTTCTTATTTATTTATTCATTTTAGTTTTCGTGTTTACCCATTTTTCCTGACAAAATCTTTCTAGTGCCAATCAGATGGTTAGGACTTTTTGGGCAATATTGATCAGAGGGTACACAAGTACGATGAAAACAAAAATTTGGCAACCTAGATGTCAAGAAAAGTTGGTTGGAGGCCCAAGTGCTCATTTTATATAAAGGTTGGGAACTTCTGGAACTATTTTCCCACGATAATTCACCATATATTCGTTAACGATTTAAAAAAAAAAAAAAAGGAAAAAAGAGCAGCAAATAACCTGGTATCTTCGTTTATTTTGAGACACAACATGTCGAGCTTTGACCTGTACGGCCTTCACTGCACTCTTAGATGAATCAACCAACCCTTTTGTGATAGTTCCAATAAAACCTGGTTGTGCACTTGACAAGGACCCTTCAGAACCTTCATCTGCCTGAGGAGATTTCGGTGACTGAGGAGATTTCGGTGACAAGCGCAATCCAAGCCCACCAGTGAAACGAGCAAAAGATGACTTCCCAGAATTTCCAGATGGTGATTCATTTTGGGATCCCAAAAATGGCTGCGGAATTTTCAAATTTTTTGCCCACGAGGTGATGCCAGAAGTAGATTTAGAAGGTGCATCGGTTGCTGAATTATCTGGAACAGATTCCACAGAATTGGGCATTGCCATATCTGCAGTCTTGTTATGTTGTGGATTTGATGAATCAGAAGAGTCCAAATTCATTCCCTCAGCGCAGAGATATCAATAGCATCCAATAACAGAAGTGTTTAACATGAAATCATGAGAACCTCTCTGCAAACCAATTTTAATAAATATTTTATCGATCTAACGATTTCAGAAAACAACACTCGCCAGGAGAGATAGTCGAACAAAATTATTCTTGGTTATTTTCTTTAATGATAATGATTTGAGTAGAAAAATATGAGGAAACTAGAAACTGTATTAAGGTTCTTTAGATGTAAAAACAGCCAGGCAAAATTAAATTAGCTGCATCAATTTCATGTAAAAGAAGGATGGTAAAAGACAAATTTTCAGTCCTGAGTTAAACTTCAATTTCAGCATGGAGCAGGGAAAAATTATAAACATATTAAATAAGTACTAATTGCTGCAGTAAAAATTGAGCTAAGATTTTATGAGTACCTCAAACTTTGCCTCGATCCACGAGATGACTAGAAAGAGTATAGATGATCTAGTCTATATGGTCATCAAATAATTGCACGAAAAGAAAGCGAAGAACACAATTAGTGATGGATTTTGCACATAGACTGAAATAGAAGTAGATAGAAATTCATTATATCTGTTCTAATTTTTGTTGCAATAGTCGCACCAAGTAGAAGTAGAAGAACTCTCCAATCTATAATGGATTCAATTTGCAACATCCAATCATTTTCAGAAAATAATGTTCAATTGCATTATTGCGGTCAAACTCCCAAAACGCTGTAAAATTACCCACTCATGCAATGAGTGATAAGTAACCTAAGTAATCAGCCCAATGATTGGTCAGTGAGCCGTTCATACTGTTATTGTCGATGTATTAGACGAAATGCAAATTTAAGTACACCGAGACGTAACATTTTCACCTCAAATGCATATCTGGAGAAAGTTCGAACATTTAATATAATAGACAATATTATACTATTATTTTACTATAAGCTTGACTATAACCTAATTTTTTTCCCACATAGACGCTACATATGTAACTAACAGCAAGTAGCCTCAATCCACGAAAAAAAAAAATGAATATGCGGAGCTTCGTCATTTCTCTTTTACGAATTTCAGTTAATTTCTTTGAAGATCCAATATATACACAATTTTGTCAATGGGCAAGAGAAGAAAAAATTACAAATACTTACAGATTTAACTAATCTTGGATTAAAACATTCAAGTTTAAAATACGATTCTATGTGTTTGCGGAAAGACTGCGGAGGAAAGAAGGTTTGAAACTCACCGGAAAGCAGAGTCAAAGGCGGCGAAGGCGGGGGGGGCAGTAGATTCTCTGAATCGACGACGTCGTTTGTTTATCTTTTTTTGCCGTTCGGTTGTTCTTAAGCGTATGGGCTGGTGCTTCATTTTCTATGTATTTACTCACAAGTACAGCTCTCCTTTCCTTCTCTGTAGGGCCATGATATTGTATATATTTACTCGTAGGTCCTCACATTCTTTCATTTGTATAACAATTTTGATATGGATTAAAAACTAAGATCAATTTCAATAATTAATTTTGATCATACATTTAATAAGATTCGTTACTTTTCAATCACATATTTTATCAACTTTTATCATAAACTACTAAAATTTTGATTTTAATGAACACTAAATAAGAATTATATTGAATAATCCATTTGGGAAAATTAGGGCTCGATTCCCTAGCCTTTTACATGATGTGAAGGGAAATTTTGGATATTTAACCCATGTAAATTGGTAAAGCTAAGTTTTCAAGTGATAGACACTTTCAATGTAATAGAAAGCAAATTCTCAGATCGATTAGGCCTCTCCATTTGATTTAGGCGACGAGGCCCTGGATGGGCTAGCAATTGGAACATAGGGGACTGTTTGCCCGCATTTCTCAACAATGGATACTTTAGATGTTCCAAGCAATGGATGCTCTAGATACTCAAAATAACAAGTAATTACCCCGTTCTCTTAATTGAAAACTCGGTCCAATCTTTTAATAAAATGATTGAGCCGAATGCAAATATTCTATTCGATCCAGAAATTCATTCAATACATATGACCAATAACAAGAAAAATAGATGCAATAACTATATGATGATGAGCAATATCAATCAGCCATAAACATTGTGTTTGTGGATGGAATCCTCGAGAAGAGTTAAAATTATCTAACCACTTAACATTTGTCTTTAAATTCAATTGACTTTAGTGTATATGGAAACAATTTGTAGGGGTCTAGATTTGTATATTTAGAAAAGTGAGGGACTCAAATCTTATTTTTGAAGTTTGAGATCCGATAACCATACTATAAAGTAAGTTTAGCCTTAATTTATCCAAATCAAGCCTCAAATATCATTTTATACATAAACCACCATGGCTATATTCTTATATTTTTATTCTCTATAAAATGCCTTAATTAGATAGTTTTTAGAGATTATTTAATTACTATATCCAACCACGTACTTAAAAGCATTTCCAATAATATTTTTTTATTTTAGAGAGCATTTTTTATCAGGTAAAGAGGGTTTTTTTTTTTTTTTTTTTTTTTTTTTGTTGGAAGAATTCTTAAAAATGAAGTCTTCAAATTTTTTTTCAAGTCCAACAACCTTATTTATAATTATTTTCATTTGACTTTTTTTTCGGTAAATAATTATCGATTAACATTTTCCCTCTTTTTATATTTGTTTTTCCTCTTCATAAATGCATGGAAAGTTATGAAAATAATAAATGACTTATTGAGGGATATTAAGCTGGTTTGACATTCTACATTTGAAAATTCAAAATTAATCTTTATTTTATTTTTTATATATGAAGAGTTTGTTGGACAATTTGAAAAGAAATTAATCTAAAAAATAAAGAGGATATGATTTAAAATAAATAAATAAATAAAATTCTTGAAAATACTATTAGTTGATATGAGATTTGCACGGGCATAATTAATTGAAACAAGCGGAATTGTAGAAAACAACTTTTTCCATGAGCATTAAATAAACAGTTTTCAACAAAAATCTTATTGCAATAATTTTATATAGTGATAATAATTTTTTTGTCAATCAACCATCACGAATACGAAATTATAGTATTCGTGAAAATAAAATAAAAGAACTGAGAGGAAATATAGAACATGGCATCTAACTAAAATTACTAAAATTAATCACGATTATCTCTGAAAAATAATGTTATTTAAAATCAATAATGTGCGTCCAATAAACTTAGTAAAAGAATTTATGTAGTTAACTTTAAGAGAAGACTAAATTCATTATTATTATTATTTTTTATTTTTTATTTTTTTTTACAAGGTGTCCGGGCTTGCGTCCGACTAGATCCTTGTCCCTGAACCTCCGGCCCTTCAGCAGCTCAGGGAGGTAAATCGCAGGATGTGTCCTTATTGGCTCTCAAGTTCCCACAACTCATTTGGACTCCTTCCGCAAAGAGAGCTCTTCTCACTGGGCGTTTGTTCACACCAATGGCTTCCTCTCCATAATTTATTTTATTTTTTATATATAAAGAGTTTGTTGGACCCTTTGAAAAGAAATTAATCTAAAAAAAAAGAGGATATGATTTAAAAAATAAATAAATAAACTTCTTGAAAATACTATTAGTTGATATGAGATTGGCACGGGCATAATTAATTGAAACAAGCGGAATTATATAATATAACTTTTTCCATGAGCATTAAATAAACAGTATTCAACAAAAATCTTATTGCAATAATTTTATATAGTGATAATAATTTTTTTGTCAATCAACCATCACAAAAATGAAATTATAGTATTCGTGAAAATAAAATAAAAGATTTGAGAGGAAATATAGAACATGGCATCTAACTAAAATTACTAAAATTAATCATGATTATCTCTGAAAAATAATGTTATTTAAAATCAATAATGTGCGTCCAATAAACTTAGTAAAAGAATTTATGTGGTTAACTTTAAGAGAAGACTAAATTCATTATTATTGTTAACGTTTTTGGGTAACTCTCTTATTTTTATGGGTAGATTGTATAGTTATGTTCGATATTTGAGAATCCCAGCGAAGTGATTGTTTCACCAACTCGGATGTGCCCTGGGGGGCCTAAATTCATTATTATTGTTAACGTTTTTGGGTAACTCTCTTATTTTTATGGGTAGATTGTATAGTTATGTTCGATATTTGAGAATCATTTTAACACATTCTTTATTATTTATGCTAGTATTACATGACTTTCCCCAGTCCCATGTGGTGAAAATTTCTTGTGACTAGTTTAACTCGTAATGTTGTGTTTGACATGTAACATATTATAATGTTACCTTATCCAAAATGGCATCAAATTTGTCCAAAAAATAAAATAAAATGAATAAATAAAATAAAATAGAATGGTGTCAAATTAGGTTTGTAATCTCGAGTTTTTAGTAATTTTTAGAGTGTCCCAAATGATACATCATCGAATGAGCAACAACTCAAGTGATCATTTGCCTTTGGAGGATTAGCAATGCAGGAGATGAATACTAATTGGCTCCTATTTTATCTTTGTGGAGATCAAGATCGATATTAGTTTCTTTCCTAAGGTGAGAAGATAATGACGTTGATAAAGAACATTTTCGTGAAGAAAGATTCAACTTAATTAAAGAATACAAGAAGGAAAAAATAAGGGAAGGTTTCTTATTTTGTTTATTCATTTTCGTGTTGCTCGAATAAAAGTCCTTGATCAACTCATCTTTTCCAAATTCCACAACTAGTGCAACCTAGAAAGTGTTCTAGTTCATAATTGCGTTAATTATTGCGTCAATTATTTTTGTAATATCGACTTCAAAAACTTTAGCCCTACTTATATGTATCTAAACTTTTTTTCTTCAAATCAATTCATTGAAATTTGGGTGGGCCAACAAGTATCAAATTAGGACCGTTGAAATCCAAGGTTTAATTACGAAGGGACTTTGTTCACTCAAAATTAGGAATGTAAAATTGGCTTGCCGACTTGGGTGGCCCATGGGTTGACTGAAAAAAGTTCGAGCCAATCTAGCTCGTGGTTAGAAGGAGTCAGGTAGAGGCTCGAGCCAAACCCCTTTTGGAGAGTTAGCTCGAACCCGAGCTTGCCCGTAATGGGTTGAGCCTTNCCTGTAATGATCGGCATAATCAGGTTCCAGCTCGTAGAAGCTGTTAAAAAGAACTCCATAGCTTCTGATCTCTGATTCTTTTATTTTGGTTAACAATTTTGTCAGTTCATTTTCAATTTCTTCTCGATAAAAATTAGGCACCTGTGTTCCTGTAAACTTCAGGTGATGTGGAAGATTGGGCAACACGAACTCCTCCAAATCCGAGGATACATTCTTGTAAGGCTTGTAGATCCTCATATGTTCTAAAGCACACGAAGCCAAAAAACTTGTTCCATGGAAAATCAATCTTGGGATATCAAATTTCGCTGCTGCATCAGTAGCCCAGGGAAAGAGCACGTCTGCAACAAGACAATCTGGACGGAATTCTTCCAGAAGTTTTTCAAGGGGTTCTTGAAGCAGATCCATGGATTTTAAGAACTTGGGGAGCATATCATCTGATATTTGATCACTCGTGATTCCATGAGGCAATCCGGATTCTTCCGGTGGAAATTTCATCACATGAATCCCAATATTGAATCCAGATTTCCTGGCTTTTTCAACTGGTTCTACAAATCCAGGAGTGACAATCATAGTTGTCTGAACACCCCGAGAAGCGAAAAGCTTGGCCGTTTCTAGGTTTGGAATCATATGGCCATAAGCCAAATAAGGTAAAAAGAAAACATGTAGCTGATTCATTGCAAAAAGTTATGGAACAGATTTTGGGATTTCTTAATTGGGGTGACACAACTGAATCTGATAATGAGTACTGCAAGATAAATATACAAACTGTGAGTGTATAGGGAACTTAGAATTTTCCAAGAAAATAACATCTTGAAATTGGCTACTTCATCTTGTAGAACA